TACTGTTCAAGGGTCCACTGTATTTGTAGAATTTGTTAGGAACCTGAAACTTTTTAATAATAAAACATAAGAAGCTGAACTGTATCAATTGCTACATAACAACTGAAATTTTGTTATTCATTGAAAAATTGTTCACAGAAAGTTAAGCTTTTAATACCATTTCTGAGTATCGCATTTCTGTGTATTTTTTAAATCATTAAAAACATTTTATAAATCTTGTCAAAAAATACTAATACTGCAGCCCTATGGGATGACAAATGACATACAGAGGAGACTTATTCCTATTACAGTTCCTTTCAACTACTCCTAGGAAGCACATACTGGCTCATGAATGGTCATGGACAAGGGCAGAGGTATAGATGTGGAGGCAGCGGAGGGCTGTCAGGATCTTCCTAGCTAAGGGAAATTGACCTTTTGGCTAGACTTCTTGGCAGGACCTTTGTGAGATTTTTTTTTTTATGTCAAATATCATTCCCCTATTCCCACTATTTTCTAACATTTTCTTTAAAATTTCACAAATTAGACATTACAACAAATCAGAAAAACAATTATGCTTTCAAGTAATTCCTACTTTTAAATTAGAATATATTTTACTATTTTAAGCTTTTTAAAGATTACGTCCATATGTTAGTATGACTTCATTTCAAATACCTCGCTGGGATCAGTGGTGCCAGGTTGGGTGCTCGAGGGCAGGGGTTGGTAAATTGGAGATCAGGGCAGGCCTGGATAGGTTGTTATGTTGAGGAGATCTGACCAGCAGGGAGAAGAATACTGTATGTCTGTTCTACAGATTGAGCTTTGGGATCTTGAGAAAGTCAGCTGATCTTCCTGTCCTTCTTCCTTTACTAATATTTCCACTTCCCACAAATGCTCCCAGAACTTTGAATTCAAACCAGCCTATTAAATAACAAGGGATAGAAAAGTAAAACAAACATCAGTTGAACTCCTAGATTCCATAAAAAGGAATGACAATTAGACCATATACTCAAAATCTTACTATGTTTTTTATTATCTTACATAATTTTTTCATGAACTCATGACCCCAAGATCAAAACCTGATCTAAAATCAAGAGTCAGACACTTAACTGGCTGAGCCACGCAAATTATCTTACATAATCTTCACCAAAACTCCAACACTCGGAGAAGTATGAAGTCTGCTTATATCATGAGCTAAATTGACTTGGCGTGATAACCTAACCACAGCAAATACTGTACTATTTCTTTTCTGGAAATATGCATTTTGGATTCTAAATAACAAACAAACCTTGGGGGAAAGAACAATTTGAGACTACCTGTGGGTGCATTTTGTCAGTTATATACAAAATTTAAACAGTACCTTGTGCAATCATCTTAGAAGAATAACCATGTTCCAGAGAGCAATAGTAAATACTACCTTTGGAACCATACACCCAACACTTGCTTTTCCATAGTCTCTCTACTCTTTAAAAATCCTCAAGTTAAAACAAGCAAATAATCAAAAAAATCCCTTCTTATTTATAATCTCCAAATACCACCCATAGATAGTGTACAATTTTTTTGAAATGCTAATCAGCAACTATACCTATGGATAATATCTGTCGGGGTTCATATCTATTAAATTTACCAACCAGTTATTAGTAAGACATCTTTGCTGTACCGTCATTTAGAACTGTGATACATGGAATCATATGGAGGCTGACTTATAAAAAAAAGCATATTACTTCTTTTCTTGACAGACTGTTCAAAGAACCTCAAAGAACTGAAAGCTTCTATAAAGAATAACCCTTGCTTCAAGATAAAAGTCTTTTACTGGGATGCATTAATTATGAGACTCATATAATTGTAAAAATGCATATCCTTGTTTGTGAATAAGAGGTGAATAGATAGCTAATTTTATTTTTTAAAAACATTTTATTTATTTATTTAGAGGTAGAGAGAGAGAGTGAGAGTGCACACATGAGCAGGGGGAGGAAGAAGCAGACACCCTGCTGAGCAGAGAGCCTGATATGGGGGCTCAATCCCATGACCTGGAGATCATGACTTGAGCTGAAGGCAGATGCTTAATGGACTAAGCCACCCAGGTGTCCCAGTAACTAATTTTCTAATATTTTTTCATAGAAAAAAATTAGATTAGAAACTGGGATATAATTTCCCATTAGAAACTGGCATATAATTTCCCATACTTTCATATTGAAAATAATAGAAATTGCCTACATTTTGCAAACATAAGTGGTTTGGGAGTCACATTTCTACCCATATATGATAGGAGAAGGGAACAAAAGGTATTTAGTACTTTAACAGATCTTGAAAATCTCCCAAGCCTCCATTTCCTGGTGTATAAAATATGACATAATTTAGTGTTTCCTAAAGCTCATTGTTTTGGATACCAGTTCTGCAAGATGTCAGTCAGTATTCCATGATAAAAATGTGGTAAAATAAAATGGGAAAAATTGAGATAAATGAAGTTAGTAGGATTTTTTTCCTCTGAGATTTCTTAAGACTTCTTATATATTTTCTGCAGAATAAGGTAGTTTATGTATTATCTCCAAAGTGATTTGGCCATGGAATTCTTTAAAGAATTATTTATTGACATAGTTATGGCTAGTCAATAAACTATCTAAAATACTTAAAATACTAGTAGAAGTTTAATTTATGGCTATAAAAGCCTTTTTTCCCCCAATGAAAACAACAAAAAAAAAAAGAAAGATGAATAATGGTGAGGAGAAGCTATTAAGGGAAATTTTGTTAAGTACTCTTCTTCCTGTTTTTAATTTTTAGGTAATGAGAGGGGTCTATATGTCTTACAGATTGAATCTACCAAATACCCTATTTTAAGCTATTTTTCCATTTATAAACTTTAAAAGCACAGAAGATGATAAATAAAATGTGAGAACAGACAATTATAAGGAATAAGAATCCACAATGGTAAGCAAGTTCTTGAGAATGGGAACGTATTGTCCCTCTTGTCCCTCCTTGACAACGTAAGGTAGAGTTGTGCTGGCAAACACTGGCATAGGCATCTCCCTTGGATGCATAGGAATGTCTCTATTGTCTGCCCAAATCCCCTTAATCTCGATCCAACCTCTTTCATCCTAAGACTCCCAACACTTAGTGTGAACTGATGATAGATCTTCAGCCCAACATCAAGCAGGCAGCAATAACAACCACAAATCCCACATGTCAAGTGCATGCTACCAAAGGAATTTAATTACAGAAGAAAAACTCATCAATTGTCAATGCAAAATAATGCTATAGAAATGGAATTTAGAGGTTATTAAAAGAGATACAACCTTGTGCTTTATGATAGATTTGAGGGCAAAGAATACGGTTGCATTTAGTGGAGGCATATTTCATGCCTGCTCACCTGCTGCTTGATCTACTGGCATCAGCTTTGTCAGCACAAGGATCCTGCCATGAACTTGAATATCCTCACTTATGGCCACCATCTTTCAGTGGTGATGCATATAAGGGCTAAAGAACGTGCTTAGGGAAGAGACAGACCTGACGAGGATGCTAGGCACCTCTACTGGAGAAAGAGAAAGGCGAGAATAAAATAACTCTCTAAAATAAACACACACGCTACAACTGTAGTGTAGTGTTTGAAACTTTTATTTAGACTCTTCTTTCATTTCCCTCCGGGTATAGCTTGGCTTACCCTTGCACTCCTAAATTAGGTAATTAATCCACATGAATTACCATCAAAATGAAGCATTCTGGATAATATCCAACTTGGCTCTTAGGTTTTATCACCTATGACTGACTAAAATTGACACTTACATTCTATGAAAATATTGCAATGCTTTTTTGAAAATTATATATTTCTTTTTTTTTGGATATAGAAAGTACAAAGGAAGTGCAGGAGGTGTACACAGCTATCCTTAAATTTAGCAATATTTTTTTTCATGCAATGGGTGAATGATTTTGGTTTATCCCAGCATGCAGCATTAAATTTCTAGGTGATTCCAATGCAATGAAGGATCTCGTTCTGGGCAATTGTTTAATTCCTTTTGATAAAAAGTATTAATTCACTTGCCTATACTAAAGGAAACAATTTGATCCAGGGTTGTTTATTAAAGTATGGTGGTTATATCAGGAAAATGAAAGTAATCTATATCTATTTCTTTTTTTTCTTTCTTTCCTTCTTTCCTTCCCTTTTTTCTCCTTCCTTCCTTCCTTCCTTCCTTCCTTCCTTCCTTCCTTCCTTCCTTCCTTCCTTCCTTCCTCTCTAGAGAGCATGAGCAGGGGAAAGGGCAGAGGGAGAGAAGGAGACTCCATCCTAAAAGCAGAGCCCAACACAGGGCTCAATCTCATGACTCTGAGATCATGACCTGAGCCAAAATCAAGAGTCAGTTGCTTAACCCACTGAGCCACCTAGGCGCCTCCAAAACTATTTCTTAAGAGAAAGAGAAAGGAGAAATAGAAGTAAAAAACATGAGAGGCCAAGTTCCAAAAATTTCTTTTACCTGAAATATTTTAGTAACAATAATGTATTTTGAGTATTTCCATTTAGTAGCAACACTACTTGAAATCTGACTAAAAGTCATGGAAGTCATCTCATGGATCTCCTGTTAAAATCATAGTACTCCTTGTGGACAACGGCAGACAACGAATGCCATGTTTCTTTGACTCTTTTCATCTTATTTTTCGAAGGTAACTCACAGGACAAATTAATGGCATTGCCTTTGTGAAAGCACTATTGGATGAGTACATTGTGCCCTAAATATGTCTACTCTCATTTTTCTTCGATAACGGCAACATTTCTTATTCAGTACATGTGATCTATAGTTCACATCTGTAATCTGAAATCAAATTTCAATAATTTTAAACAAAAAAATTTTACAGGGAAACTTTTGAAAACAGCTTGGCACACCAGCTTAAGTTGCTTTTGTTAGCACCAGAGTAGGTGGTTATTAAACTTTCATTCTGCTATTTATTACTACTTTATAAAGTCACTAACCAGATTATCCTTTTTTAAAAGATTTTATTTATTTGAGAGAGAGACAGAGAGAGAGAGAGAGAGAGAGAGAGCCAGAGAGGGAGAACACAAGCAGGGAGGGACAGAGGGAGAGGGGGAAGTAGACTCCCCACTGAGCAGGAAGCCAGACATGGGGGGTCCATCCCCGGGACTCAGGATCATGATCCCAGCTGAAGGCTGCTGCTTAACCGACTAAGCCACCTAGGCATCCCCCAGATTAACCATTTAGTAGGATAAAAAAGTCAATTCCACATATTCCAGGTTATATTATTTTTGGAATAAATTATTCAGCTGATCAATCTGATTCTTTAATTATGTAGGCTTGGCCAAGAAGTTACCTCCGTAAGTGAAATTCAAGCAACACAAAAAGGAAAGTTAAGTGCACATAGGAGGCTCTTTTTTGTTTATTTCTGCAGAAAAAATAACCTTGGTGGCTTCTGTTACTTGAAATTCAGCCCTACTTTCAAAGAAAACTTAGTTTTGTATCAGAAAAACATCTCCCTATAGGCTAATTGCATATATTGGAAGGGAACTTGATCTTTTTTCATTCTTTAAATTACAACTCATTTATTTAAAGGCATACTTGTCAAAAGAAAGCTTTAAGTAGTGAGTTTAAAAAGCAGTGTTAAATAATTGAATTGACTGTGATAAAATTGCCTTAGTTTAAATAGACTAGTCTGTTTAATGAATTGTGCTTTTATAGGGTGAGATAAATCTAATGTGAACTCAAGTGGCTACACCAGAAACACTGAATTTGGATAACTTTGAAGAAAGTCAAGATGAGGCATTTATAATAATGCAGTTACATGTGATTTTATTAAAATGCCTTCATTACAAAACAGTGCTTTCTGCCAGGTTAAGAAAAACAGACTTAAAATATTATCAAGAATCTTACACACGTATTGAACAATTCAGATCGCTTGAAGAGGAAGTCTTTTATTTGTTATTTTTTTCTCACATGAAAATAAGAACGTGAGCCTTAATTAGGAACACAGCGCTTAACTTTCAATTTTTAGGTGGAGATTGCACTTACAAATCTTCAACATTGCGAGAAATCATTTTGGCAATGAGATCGTGGCAGGAAATTAATTTTGTATTTTAAAGTAAAACTGGCAGGTTTACTTTCCTGTTTAATGTTGAAAAGGGTTTTTATAACATCCTATTAAGCTACCATGCAGTCAGCCTGTGTAGCAACGCTTGGTTATCACTTCAAAAGAGAAACTTAGCTGGAACATTTTGTAGTCCTTGATTATACTTCTTGTGTTGTTAAGTGTTGAAATACATTTTATGTGCTTAAAAACAGAGAAGCAATGTAAAGGGGGGGGGTGGGGAGAAACTAAACTAGAACAAGTACAAACACAAGGATCTGTTCTCATCAAAAAAGAATCATGAAGCCTGGATCATGGACTAGGCGGGCAATTCACATTCCGAGTGGTGGAATGGTGGAGACCAAATTCATTATTACATAGGTCAAAGCTGAAAGGAAAGAGTAGGGAAAGATATTATCAGTTCACACGTACCACTGAACCATTCCACAATTTAAGAGCTATCTCATCTTTTTATCTGACCCACGAAATTCCTACTGTAGTACTTACTGAGAAGTAGTTGGTTAACTGAAGGCAAAATTCCTCTCACCATCCACGCAGAGACTTCCTGCTTGGTATTTAGGTTCTTACTCTGAAGAGTTTCTAATGATTGCAGTGAAAAATATAAAAAATTCAAGTCTCAAATATATGACAAGTTTTCAGTATGTAAAATCCTGATTTTAAAGTCATGGTCTAGTTTATATAGTGAGCAAATTGGGGTGTTGATACAACCTGAATAATTCGAGTACATTTCCAAACCTGATGTTCTTTAATTTTAGAATATTTCACGTAGAATTTTTTTATGATTAGACTTTTGGGTTTTTTTTTTATTACAGAAGTTATATATGCTTGTTATAAAAACTTAAAATGACAACGTAAATAATGCTCATAATTCCCTCTACTTATCATACATATATACATTTCATAACAATTTGAGTGCCTGATATGGACAATACAGATTTTGTTCCTTTATTGAGTTTGTGGAATATTAGAGATAACAAATATTAAACAGATAGTCATGAAAAGGACGATATGATTCCAACAGACTCCAATGCTATGAAAACAGAATCCAAGCTTCTCCTAGGATGCATAAAATGGGGAGCTATTCCAGGGGTGGTATGCTGTGAGGTCTGAGTAGAGCCAGAGTAAGAGTGTGGGAGTGGTGAATGGAAGAACATTCTAGATGGAAGGAACTGCAAGTGGCCAGGCTCTGAGGCTGAATGGCCATTGGCATATTCCCAGAAGGTCAAATGCCCCAAGAGTGGTGAGCAAAAGAGAAAGTGGTACAGAAAAAGCTGGACCAGCAAGTCAGAATCAGATCACAGGGCATCTTTTACATCATATGAAGGAACTCGACTGTCTTCTAAAAACAGGAGATAAAAAATATTAATAGTTTGAGTTAACTTGTTCTCTCCTACTCTTTCTCTTTTGTTTTTAGAGAATTGGATGTTATATATTGTTTGTAACTTGTTTTTCTTATTATTTTGTAATCTGTCATTTATATTTATTATATGTTCTCCCACAATGATTTTGTTTGTGCTATTTAGTTTCATTGTATGGATTTTTCATAGTTTACTTAATCAAGCTCTTATTTTATACCTTTGAATTTTTTTGTTGGTCCAGCTATTATTAACACTGAGGTGATGAAAATTATTGTGGAGACATATTTGTACACATTTGTAACTGTTTCTTTGGGAAAAATTCACAAACAGCTCAACAGGATTTCTCTGTCAAAGGATAAGGACATTTGCAAGCTTTTAATATGAATTGCCAAATTGCCTTCCAGAAAGATTGGAACAATTATTTCCATGGTAGTGTAAAAGACCATCTGTGGCAAATACACTTTTTGAGCCTAAGTTAATAATTGGGGGAAAATTTCAGGTTCTATGAGATAGTCTTGAATAGCTATTTGCAAAACTGGAATTTACTTGGAGATTCTTATTTGATAATTAAATTTGAGCCATGTGCTTGGAAATCTATAAAATTCCCCACCTCTTATCTGATTGTTTTCTGTTATGAATGAATCCTGTGCAATGATCACTAAAATATGTTGTCAGCTTCAAAGTTTGTAGATGACAGGTAAAGTTTTTTTTTTTACATTTGTATAGATAGTGAAAAATTTTAACTTATGAATAAGACATGTATAGAAACTCCAAATATTAGAAATATGAATTTGGCACAAATTATTGAAGTTAACAATTAACCGTCTTTGGGGTTGTGTCCAAAAATACAAAGGATAACACAAATAAATTTGAAGATAGATTTTAGGTGTCAAGAAAAATTAGAAAAATATCCTTTACTCAATATGATTAAGTCTAACCTCAGATACTCCAAGCTATTTTTAAGCAATTGCTTGCAATTTTCAACACTAGGACTGATACGCTATCACTGGGTTTCTCACTAATTCCAGTTCTGACTCTTGGCAATATACCCCAGCTTTGATCTGCCTCCGGCTCTTTGGCTTCCACGTTCAGATTTTGTTCTCTCTAGCTTTTACTCATTGCTCTCCTTAATGGATTTTGGCTTCTCTTGAAGTTCTGAGTTTTCTTACTCTGTATAAACTCAGATGGGCCAGATCTTCCTTACGCTCATGCCCCAGCTTACTCCACCATGGCTGTATGCAGGGCTCACCCCTGGGAGCTGTCAATAGGATAGCCCTGGCCTTGTCACTTTGAGTTGGGGCAGATATGTGAACAAATAAGGCATATATTTTCTTAAACTGCTCAAATAATTGCATAAATTTCCCCAAAAAAACCATCAGATATTTATGATCATTTCCTTTACAGTCAATGCTCATAGTGATATGTAACTTCAAACTAACAAATTAATATTTTACTTAAATTAATAAGTGAGGATACTGTATTTTATAGCACAATCACCTTGAGAGAAATATTTAAGTGTTAATTAAGCAGCTAATTCAACAAGGGTTCCAGAAGTTCAAGAAAAGAGGGCAGAGCTCAATGAGTGTTTGAGTAGGCAGGGAAAATTTCTTGAATAAATTTGGGCTCAAAGAGTAGATATTATTTTCATAAATGGAAAGGAGAAGACAGTGTTCAGAGGAAGGGAACCATTTTGGCAAAATGGAGGAGCATGGCATGATGCCTAGAAACATTTCAACGGTGCGTTCAAGCTTTGCCATACTTCGGGCTGTGACAATTGACAGAGTGTGTTTTTCTTTAGGGATAAAATTAATGCAACTGACTGACCCACCTTTGTTGGGGGATGTACTTTTTTTATTGTATTTCCTACAGTATTTATTTGGCCTCATTCCTGTTTTATTCTTACTCAGGAACATGTGAGGCTCACAGAGATCTTGGAAAATTATTCCAAGCAAAGCAAATTGAATGTAAGCAAATCGAATGGAGCAAATAGTTATTCAATCCTCCCATTTCTTAAGCCTCTTGGGTTTTTTTTTTTTTTTTTGACTCTTTCCTCTCCCTTGCATACCACAATCAAATGCTTATCACGAAAAAATTAGCATTCACAATTATTCTTCCCTTTTCCTTTCAGCTCCTTATTCAGGTCCCTCTGACTTTAACCATGGAATTGGATACTATTGTCTCAGCTGGTCTCTCCAATGCCATTTCTCTCTACTCCAGTTCATAGACAGCACAGTAGTGAGCATATCTTTAAAACTACTGTTTTTATTTCAGGACGTTCCCTGATCAAAATCCCTGTATCAGTCTTCCATCACCAAAGCCAGAGTCCTCCACAGTCCAGCCCTGTTGCATCCCCTGCTTGTGCCCCACAAGGTTTCTCTCACATGAAGGTTGTCTGTCAAAAGCTTACCAGTGTGGTCATCCCTCCCTTGGTCCCTTTCCCCAGTGTGCAGTGCTTCCACTTCTCCCTCTGAACCCATCATGGCCAGTTTCAATATTTACTTCCATCTTCGCTAAGCAAATGGCCCTATAGAGATCCTACTGCCTGGTTGACTCCTTTTCTGACCAGTCTTGTTTCCAGAGCTTTGTTCAACTATGTCCAAAATTGAAATAAAACTTAGGGGGCATGTACCATCTATTTTGTATTGTATTGTTATTCCATCCCCACCTCCACATAGTAGGGCTTATTTATGACATTTGTAAGCCCTGGATTACACTCCATTTGTTTTTTAGGTATCCTTTAAAGATCATGTGTCTTACTGGTCACAAGAAAAAAGAAAAAGAAAGGAAGGAGTGAGATCTGCTTTTCATATACTGGATGCTTGATTTGTCAGAGTTTCTTCAGGAAGCTCATGCTGTTCAACTATGCATTCTTCGGTAGCATTTCAGAGGTTAATAACAGAAACTGCCAGTTGTCCAGTGGTTCCTATGTGCCAGGCATTACACTAAGTGTTTTACATGAATTATTTAACATTCACGCTATTCCTATGAGATAGATATTATTATACACATTTTGCTGAGGAGAAACTGGAAGCTTTCATATCAGTATCAGAACAAGTAGGTAGGTAAGATCAAGATTTTAATTCGGCTGGATTCAATGTTTTTTTTCTTTCTTCCCCAAACTTCTGCTATCAGGAAGATTCATCTATGGACCAAGGTGGAATTCAAGAACTTCTGTAAAGCTGAAAGAAAAGTATCATGTGAGAGACTTGGGAAGACCATTTTCCTTTTTGGAGGGAAGCATGACTCCTTGATTACACAAGGAGATAGGAGCTAGATGGAAAGCTGGTCCTTAAATCTGGGTAAACATTTGTCCCAATCAGATAGTGTACTGCAAGGCGATTGGCTTTTATAGCTAGACATGACATTTGCTGGTGCATTGATCTGCATTTCCAAGAATAAATAGTTCTTATATTCCTGCTCCTAGACATAAGATTATTGATTTCCATGGACGATGTGGGAAGACACTGGAAGTAGAATGTAGAAGATTAGAAATGGAACTATCTGAAAGGATGGAGCATTTTAGAAGATTGATGGGACAAAATTTTTTTTTATTATCCTGCTTCTTCTTATTCTATCACATGAACTTTTTCCCCCTCTAAAGGAATCTATCTTCCCAAGTAGGGAAAAATGATTTTTAAAAAGATAAGCCTGAAAAAATTAATTTAAACTTAGCCATATTAGGGTGGCATTAAGGCACTCCCGGGTATATTTTATTGGTCCATTAATATAGGCCCCGAGTGGTTGAATACACCTAAGGCATGTACTGTATTAATGAACCAATAAAACATGCCCTGGAGTGCCTTAATGATATATTACAACCATTTCTATTACATACATAAATGCACTATTTGCTGACTGTCTTGCATAGTTTTAAAGAAAATCTTCAATTAACCAAAAATATTGCATCGAGAACTCTTACCCACAATAAAAAAAAAAAAAAAGAGCAACAAAGAATCCTGTAATTAACTTACTGGGCTAGTTACCCATGAGGTGATTTGGGATTGGTTTAGTCTTTGGAGCTTTTTCATTATAATACATAGGAAGAACTAGTACTTTGGATTTAAAATTGGTTACTTTGAGGAAAGGAAACTGTTGAAAGCTGATAGAATTCATGCTGATCTCCTTTCTTACTTAAAATATCCAACTCTGGCTTGTGGTTATGAAATTAAATAGGTTTAAATGGCTGGATCCAAATATCAGCCTTCTGTGTCCATATTGAAAGAATGTCCTTTAGACATTTGGAGAATTATTTTGCAGGGCAATAGGAATGTAGCACACCCATAAGCTAATGTGACAGGATTGTGAACAACACATGGGATGGTGTAAAAATGTCTTCTCTTGACCAATGTGGTGTCCCACTTATTTAACTCAATGTTAACTCTCCTGTTTTTTCACTGGAGGTGTCGAAATGAGCACGTTTCTATGAGTGGGAGGAGGTGAAGGAGGGAATGGAGAGAAGGAGATATAATGACAATCTGTATCATTTGTTTAGAGGTTATTGTACACCAGACAATTTTTAATTATTTTTATATCTATTATCCTATAGTCTGTGCAATAACCCTACAAGGGAGCTATTATTCAACTGCTGTACTATTCAACTGTTGTATTGATGTATTGATGTATTATTCAACTGTTGTATTGATATTCAAACTCTTCCATGTGGTAGAGCTTGGATTTGATCCAGGTCATTTGAATCCAAAGCCCATACTCCCATAGGTAAAACTTGATATGGTCACTATAAGAAAAACTGAAAAATATTAAGCTAATGCTTTCTTTGGACTGCAAGCCCCTGTAGAGTAAAATCATTTTTTCCTTTTTTTTTTAGTAAAAATCATTTCTAAACTCTATACAACAACATAATGCATTCTACATGACATTCTTTCTCTCTGCCCCTCTTTTGAGGGCCACACAGCTAGAGGAGAGAGAGACAGCTGACCAACCTGAAGGAGGCTCTTAGCAGAGACTTTGAGGATGGAAAATGACTTGCATGGAGCAAGGATCTAAGATCTGGTGGGAATGGGCACATTGCAATATAGTTAGATACCAACGGTGAGAAATAAGATAAAGTGTCAATCTCTTAACATCTGATCTTGGTGACAAAGTGATGGTTCAGAGTCAGACATCCTCCCACCTCCACTGATGCTCTAGTACTTATTAGATCCCCTGAAACTGAGATAGCACCCCTGGGATAATGAGTGAGTAGAGAAAAACCTTCAGGCTTGTCTTCGAAAATGCAGCACTTACTGATTAATCTTGAATTTGACCATGGGACTGAGTGGGGGCTCAGAGGATAAAAATTATTTGCTAAAGAAAATATAAAGTAAAAAAAAATTGTATACATGTTTGAGGTCTAAGATTACTATCCTTCATTTTTTTTCATCCATAGACATTTTAATTGCTACAGATTTGCAACCTAAGAGAACCTAACCATGAAATGTTTTAAAAAGTCACTGAAATGACTGCAGTAATTATTTGCTTTAGAGTCATAGGTTAGGCATCAAGTCATAATAAACCTGGCCTTTGTGAGGAATTGCATTTGAGCTTAATCTCTTCTTTAAAAGGATCTGTAAAATACTAGGAATTTCATTATTTTGTCAGCTTATTCTGAGCCAGTTTTCCCAGCTGGGTTTTACAATCCTGGAGAACAGTTGCTGACAGGTCTTCTCTGACTCCATTTGATTTTTGCTCATAGTTTATATTTGCCTTGCACGTTTTGTACTCAAGTGATATAATTCTACTGACTTCATTTACAGAAGGTCTTAAGCTATGTGTTGAAAGATATACTGCAGTGTTGTTCACTCAACCATTAGAATGCAAGAAAGTTGGTAAAATAAGCCCTCCTACATTAAAAAAAAACTCTGAAAAATCTACCAAACAAGTTATACAACAATATCTTCAAAAATCCCACATATATTGAGAAATAATTGACCCTTCTTTATTTAAAGAGGTTACTGAAGGTTACTTTTTAAAAACTATTAGGTTGGTGTTATTTATAATGAAGTAGTAATTTAATACCAGACAGTAAAGCCACCATACAATTTCACTAGGTAGATCACTGCACAATGCAAGGTCACTGAGTTTATTAAGTGACTCATCTGTTGGTTTATGTTCAGTTTGAGAACCCGGACATCAGCTCTTCCACAAAGCTGACTGGATGAGTCAGCTCAGTGTGGTCAGTATCATGTAATAAAGCAGCACCAGCATGTGGGACATAACAGTGATGGCTGGACATTTGCAACGAGCAATAATTTTCTGGATGTGTAATCTCACTATTCTTACTTTTAAAGAAGTGTAATGCTGGTTTTCCTGATGGGGGCATCTTTGCTGATGCTAATCATAGAAACCTAAATGTGTATGTTCCTTTAAGCATTTCTGAAGCACTTTCTTAGGCAATATATCTTGTTGGATACTTTCTATAACCTAAGACATAGATATGGACCATATCATCTTCATTTCCAGATGGGGAAATTATTACTTAGAGAGTATAAATGATTTACTTAAGGTAAGTGATAAGTGGCAAAATGCATTAGAACCAGGTCATCTTATGAGTACTCAGTTGTCTTTATTATTCTCTTCCCCACACCCAGACTTAGATATCAACAGGTCAAGGCAGTGGGTCCAGAATCTGAGATGGTAGGTTGGGCATGAATGCTGAAAGGGAAACAGAGGAAAGGAAAAACTGTTGAAATAAGAGCCACATTTATGTTTGAGGCACATACATTAGCTTTTAACTTTGTACAAGACTGTGGGGTAAAGTGGAAATGTTTTCTGAGTGAATGAATTTTATAGAGGAGAGATTCAACTGAATCTAAAATCAAAATGGGGCTATGATTTGAAGATCAGATGGGATTTTTGTCACCCCATTTGCTCAGAAAACTTTAGCTATCCTGGAATTCTCATTCAATAAAAATTGATTCTACCCTATTAATATAAAATGCCTTATAGTGGAATATAGGTGCTGATCCACACTAACAGAAGTAGGAGGTAGTCATGGGACAAAGGACAACACATTGGACATAGTGATAGGTTTGAGTTTAACACCAAATTCTTCTGCCTCACTTGAACAAATCATTTGACTTCCTTGTGGCTTAATCTTCTCATTTGAAAAATGGTAATAACACAACCTACCTCATAGAAGTGTTGTGAAGATTAACCTATAAATTGCTGGAATTATTCAGCATTGGATAGATTTTAGGAAATCAGTGAACCCTCCACTATTGCAATGCAGTAGTACATGTATATAGGCCCATGTACACAGTCCTAGACAGAGTGCTCATTATTGTTATCAGATTCTCAAAGGACTATTAGATGAACTACCACTGTATGTGAAAAGGATTTTAAGTTGTGGAACACTATAAATATTAAGATTCAAGGATAAAGAAGCAATGATCAGAAGGGAAAAAACTGGTAATTTTCAGTAGGAGAAAAATGTCTATTTGTCTCTAAGAAACTTGGATTGGAATTCTATAAGATGGTTTGGTAAGTCCAATTTACGTAAAACTTAAATTACCTATAATGGCAAAATTACTTTCACTTATAATAATTTTAAATTTAGGCTTGTTAAATGGTACTTTTGAACACATTCCATAGATGATAATCTCTAATTTACTAGTTTCTCTGTATTCTCAAGATTGTAATGCATATATCTGAGATCTCTTCATAATTTTCCTTAGGTGATGCTGTTGAACACTGAAGTGTGAGGTTAAACAAGTTTTTCCTGGTTCTGAGTAGATAATTAATCTGGTCACCTCTTACCTTGACTTAATGAATTAATTTATAACATACTTGAAGCATGTCAGTCCTTACCTCTTGCTAAGACCAGTATTTGGAATTACTAATCAATTCTCAAATAAATATTATTTTTATGGAGATGGTCCTTTCAACACATTCAGCAAAACCAAAATTAACCCCAGGATAGATTAAGGGAGGTAATGTGATGAAGAAGAAATAATAGCAAAGATCTTAACATTAGAAAACTTCCCTGATGTACTAAAGAATTCATACTGCATTTAAAAAATAGATTGAGGTTGGTCAGTGGAGCAACAGATACATAATTTGGATGGTACTATTGCTCTCTCAGACATAAAGACATCATTGTCTGGGGAAAGAGTTCTATTGTGTAAATAATGTTGAGATGACAGTGGAATTTAGATCTCCCAGACTCTTCCTTGATTTTGGCAAGGTTGAACGCAGTGGAAACCACAGTGGTTCAGGAAGAATGCCATGTTAACGATGTGATGTTTTATTACAGAAAAATGAAACCAGATGGTATAGGCTAGAATAATGTATCAGTCAGTGTCCCAGTAGGAAAAAGATGATTAATTCCAAAGAATAATTCAAGGAATATTTAATAAAGGAGTTATTTATGAAGATGTAGGTGGGATATAGGAGAACTATCAAGAAGAGGTACCCCAACACTATTCGGCAGAGCCTATTTCCACCCATAGGCCTGAATAGGGGATTTATTTACCTGGAAGGAGAGTCTTGTGGAGTCATCACCTTGTGAGGAGCCATGATCTCTATGGGGGAAAACCAGCAAATCAAAGTGACCCCACAGAGAGAGAGAGGATTATAAATACTCTGTTCCCTCTCTCCTCGCTCTCTCTTTCTAATCTCCTGCCAGGTCACTTGTGGTTGAACTCAAACAGAAGCCAGAGGGCAAGACAGCTCATTGGTATACTCTTTACAGGCTGGCTTCCTATAGCAGAGGAGGGTGGAGAGTTTAGCTCAAGAGGCTAATGGAAGATATCTTTTCCAGTTATGCTGTAGGAACGAAAAACTTCCCAACTTTGGTGGTTTATAATCCTAAAGTCTTCTCACTCAGGCTTAATGTTCAACATTTGTTCTATTTACTATGGAATCTGCCAGGGGAAGCACATGTAATTAGAAGTAGCTTAGCTTAAAATATCTCAAATGGCTTTCCCATCAGCATTCCTGGTGGTATTCAGAAAATATTATCTTTTAACCTTCTATCTAGGACTTATTCCCAGAAGTCTTTGCCTTTCAGGGTTCAGATAAAATGGGGAGTAGTTTCTCACTACTCTCACCAGATCATTAGCAAACTAGCATCAGGCTGTATATCTAAAATGGACTCAATGTCCAGCTTCCAAAACAACTCATAACAAGAGAACTTTTCCTTAGTATAGATGAGATTACCATCACCCTGCTCCTCACCGGTTTTGTACTAATTTGGCTTGACTTCCAGCTGCTGGCAACTGCTTCTCTTTTCCTGAGGGCTTTTTCTGGCCCATGGAGCTTGCTCTGCCTGGGCATGTAACAGCCTCTGAGTGCTGGGGTAATACCACCACCAAGGAGCAGACCCAGAGGAGTTCCCTCATCCATGGATGGAATGGGAATGAGGTACACATTCTAGAGGACCTCATAGTTTCCCAAGGCTGTAAAAGACTGTAGTCACTCAAGGGCAACTTGCTTGATAAAGCACCTTTTATTGCCTTTCTTCCCTTCCTTTCCTTCCTTTCTTTTTCTTACAGTCTCCTTCCACATAAACTCTGAGGACTTAAATCTTTGTCTCAGGGTCCACTTCTGGGGGAAGATAGATTAAGGCGGTGGACTATTTCCTTAGCTACAAGCTCCTTTTTACCTATACTGTACTGTGGGGCCTGAAAGGGTATCAGGAAGTCTTTGGGCAGATATTGCTGGTAGGTAAAGTTGATAGAGGCAAAGACAAGCAAAATAGCCAAAAGTCTTATAATGAAGACCTTGATCAGAAAGCTTTTCACTAAGGATGATGTGAAAATATTGCAGTCTTCTGACTTAGAAATTCCTGACATTATACATCATTTAGAGCATTAAAAAGTAAAATTATCAACTGTCTGTTGGAAAATAAGCTAAATATAAAATATATTTCAGAGTAATCCACTTTATATATGTGTTTTTTGAAAAAAAGATTTCATGCTTTGCTTTAATCTTTTAATCTGCAAAGATTGCCAGTTATTTAGTAGATGGCTGAATTAGTTGCAAGTTCTCTATCTCCCCCATGTTAGCCAACATGCGTGGTAGAAGAGAGACAGGATGACTGTAATAAATACCCCATTCAGAAAATGGAAAATTGCATTATACACAGTAATCACTGGTCCACAGTAATGATGAAATCCTTTTGGACAGCTGTTATGAAGTCCTGGCAGTGAGGGATGTTCCTTGATTACAACTCAATTTTGCTCTCAGAGAGGAACTTCCTTGTTCTCTGTGGCCTCTGGTTCTGCTCTCTGGGAAGTTCTTGCTGGTCTGTTATATGGCATGGCCACATTTGTAGTGGGTGTTGAGGGCTCTAGAGTATTTTGCTGCATACTTCCTCTCTGTATGAGTTTGGTGGCTTAAGAGTTGTTTTAATGCTCAACCAAAGGCTTTTAAAAAATTAAAAAAAGGGTAGCACCTGGGTGGCTCAGTGGTTGAGCATCTGCCTTTGGCTCAGGTTGCGATCCCGGGCTCCTGGGATGGAGTTCTGCATTCGGCTCCCTGCATGGAGCCTGCTTCTCCCTCTGCCTGTGTCTCTGCCTCTCTCTCTCTGTGTCTCTCATGAATAAATACATTTTTAAAAGTCTTAAAAATAAATAAAAGTATATTTTCTATTTTTGCTATTTCATCAGAAATGAGCATTCAGAGAAGGAGAGGAGCCTATATCTAGGCTTAAACTAAAAACCTCACCAAGAGAAGATACTACTCCAATCATGAATATTCTCTTTATGTCTTGCAACATTTATGCCTTGAAGGTGGGGGCGATCAAAGGAAGAAAGTAATGAAGATACAAATTCACAAATAAACATCTTTTACATAGATTTACAGTAAAATATATGTGATACATATTTGGTTGACAAGAGATTCAAAACTGTATATCAACATTTTGTCAAATAGGTGAATGTATAAATAAACAGTACCTCCTAAATTTCAAAGAATTTCAGGGAAGGCTTTTTTGTTTTTAAAAGGCCACATCAATAAATTAATAAACAGATAAAGAGAAACCTAATCAAGCAAAGACTTTTGAGTCTTCCCTCCTAGTTGTTTTGGCAATATGATTTCCTTTAAAATTACTAAGACTTTCATCTCTTTGCTTGCACTTAGCTCAGTGTGCCAGTAGCAACACCTACACTTCTTTGTTAGACATCATTCTTATATCTGATTTATTTCTTTTCTTTTTTCATTATTTTTTCCCCCTCAAGTCAATGACATCTACCTTAGGGCCTTCAGCCTGGGGTTGAGGGTCTGGCTCAATCTAAACTTTGTCATGTAGTTGTATTTTCAGCTCTTTACTGACTCAATTAACAAAAATCTTATTCCCTAAGTATTTCCAGCTTTTCAAAGTTTAACATTCTTGGATGCATCCTTATTCCTTTTCATTTTTATGTGTACAGTCAAATATAAAATATGTATGTATGTATATATATATACACACACACACACATACACATATATATGTATATATCCTATTCATTCGTTTTATATATATTTGTAAAAGATTTAATGCTTTACTTTAATCTTTTATTTGTTTTTTTTAATTTATTTTTTAAGTGGCTGTATGGCCAGTGTGGGACTTGAACTCAGGACCCTGAGCGTGCCCTGCCAGCTGAGCCAGTTAGGCACCCCTACTTTAATCTTTAATATACAAAGACAGCCATTTATTTATTGAATAAAAATTAGTTGCAAGTCTTTTCTGTGGTCATTTCTTTTTCTAATAGCTTACCAAATAAAGCTACTAATAGCTAATGCATGCTAATATAATTCTGTTTTCCAGTCTCTTTTGCTGGAGCCACAGGCTAGGAAGGTGTGTGGTTTGCCTCTCCAAATACCATCACATCATTGTAACTGAGAATTTTCCCACTGCTTAACTTGACAATTCATATTTCCAGCCTTGATATTAGTTTCCTAGTTTTCTTCTGCCAGTAACACAGATTTTATGTTTTTTATTACTGCCCACTCTGATGGAAATTTCTAAAATAACAGTCATTACAGTAGCAGGTAAACCTTGAAATATAACTGACTTAATCTGGCAGATTTTTGGTTTTTGCTCATGTAAAACCCAATAGTTAGATGGGGTGAGGGTTATGTTTTATAAATTGATCTAGCAGTCCACACTAGCAACACTCTGTTGTTTTAAATATATAATTTTCCAGGCACTGACATCTAGATAGCAGATAGGGAAGAGAGAATAGAGATTTGTTTATGGGAGGTTTTTTTTTTCTATTTTTTTCTCTCTCATTATCTACATTTATATTAAGAATCAAAAGCAAGCAAAGGTCTCATCAGCTCCAAGAACATATTCTTCCTTCTTAAGAGTGCAGTTTATAGGAAGTTTTTATAGCCCAGCTGAGAAGTACAGATTATTTTGGTTACATTGCATTGGCTTGAAATAAGGCACTTGGCCATACCTAACTGTAATGTAGTTGTGAGCCCAGGAAGACAACATGTAGATTTTGATAAACCTATAACATTATAGTGTACTTTACTACCCTAATTATTATTTTTAAAGTTGTCTTTTGCATTAATGTGTTCTACTGTTTATACATAAGGACCATTAAGAACTATGATTTTCCAATTTACCACATTATGATATTTAGTCTTAAATAAAATGAATAAGTTTAATTTTATGCATGATATAGTAGAATAAAACATGGATCTACAAACTAAGAGATTAAACTTGTATTTGAAGCCTGGTGCAGTCTGGCTGTTTTATCTTGGGCAAATTACTTATCTTCCTTAAATTCCATTTTCTTGTTTATACATTGAATGAACTGCCCAAGGTGATTGGTTCTCATCATTTTCTATGACAAAACTTTGATTATCTTTTATCCCTCCTCCGTCATTATTTATAATGTAAGGAATGATTTTTGGACTGCAACTTTTATTAATCAAAGATATAGATAACTGCCAACATGTATCTTCAGATCAGCATGATTTGCTCTTATTATCACAGTGACAGACATGACTATCTGTTAAGACAGATGGTGACATAAAATTTAAATTTTATGGTGCTGGGCTCATATAGGCAAACTATTTTCTAGAATTTTTGAGAAATTTAAAGTTAAATAGTGTATATTCTATCAACTATGGTTATCACTAAATAATCTTTCCTAATTCGATAAAAACATCTAGTTTCTTATTTTGTATTGAGATATGACTATCATGCATTAATTCCAGGTGCATGTTAATTTCAATATATGTATTCAAATTTCGTATAAATAAGAAAGTTTTCTTGGATTATAGTTTTTAGTGTTTGCTCACTCCATGATTTTTATTTTCTTCATCGGGACTTCCAATTATACTCATGCTAGATCTTCTTTGTCCTATGTCTATCTCTCAAATTATTTTTAATCTCCATATTTAGTTTTTTTAAGTTCTTTTATTTTTTTTCCTATCTTTTATTTTCCTAACAATTCCTTTCTGAGTTGGCTATTTACTCTTATATTACTTTCAATTTAGTTTTCTTTTTTTTTGAGATTTTATTTATTTATTCTTGAGAGACAGAGAGAGAGAGAGAGGGAGAGAGAGGGAGAGAGAGGCAGAGACGCAGGCAGAGGAAGAAGCAGGCTCCATGCAGGGAGCCTGATGTGGGACTCGATCCT